GGAGTTGCTTCCTAGGAGTTCCTTCCTTAGGAGTTCCTTGTGCAATGAAGCTGTGAAGAGAGGCTGTCCCCCTCTCATGGGATGCATGCTGGTTTGGCCTTTGCTTTCAGAACTCTGAATGGTAGCAGCCCACAGCTAGTGCAGAGTTGATGTGGGCCCTGGCAGAGAGCTGGAGCCACGCCCCAAAATCCCCTGTATGAAACTGAAACTGCCCCATCACAGGCTTCTTGTTAAGCAAACTGTTAATAAAAAAAAAAAAGAAAAAGATTCTTTGCCATTTTATTAGCCTTTTGTGTCAGAGGCTGAAGTGCTTTGCACATGTGCTAATTCCCTCATAGCCCTGGAGGAGGGAGGTATTGGCTGCACTTCAAAATGGGGACATCAGGGCACAGACTTGCCCCAGTTCATGCAATGAATGACTGGTAGAGCTGGCGTTAGATCCCCGGAGTCCTGACTTCCATTCCCTTCATCTAACCACTAGACAGTGCAGCCTCCCTAATGTGCAATTTGTGCATCCTTCACTAGCCTGTGGAACACATTGTAACCTATGGGCTGTACTATGGACAGGATTAAGGAGGCGGGGATAGGGAGCCAACAGGAAAGACATAGCCCGGCTGAGGAAGGAGTCCTGTTTCTTTCCCAGGGGCTGTGGATGGGTTTGGGCTCATCGTTCCTTCACTTCCTCCAGGCTAGGAACAGTTGTTATTCAGACTCTGACTTACCATTCACTGTAAGTGTATTAAAGCAGGGGATCTGGCTTCTCCTCCCACAGGTGCAGCAGAGACGGCAGGAGCTGGAGCAGGCACTGGGAATCCGCAACACATAAGCTGCCCCACTCCTCCCCTGATCAGAAGGCATCACAGCTACTTGTGGAGACTGAGCGCTGCAGAGTTCACTGTTTAGGCCCACACAACCCCCACTCCAGCGTAGAGACCTGCAGCCATTACTCACCTCTGGCAGTGTCTGTATCAGTGTGACTCCAGAGCCCCGTGGGGCTTTGGGGATGTAGCAAGCAGACAGGCTCAAAGGGTCACACACTTCTACCTGGTTTCCTCCCTCACTGAGGCCCTGTCAGTCTCGGAGCTCTTGCGAGCCCACCTTGTCTCTGTGTTGCCTGTAATGCCCCCAATATCCAGTGTTGCTGCAGGCTCAAAACTTCTCTTGAGTTCAGAAACTTACCACAGCCCCTTCTCCAAAACTGGGCTCTAGTTCTTGCACCCCAGAGAATGTGGGGCTGGAAAGCCTCTCAGCATGAGCCCTTCTGGATCTGCCATGCGGACAGAAGCCCGTGGCCATTCACTTCCCAAGGTCCATGAGACGCAGCAGGCAGAGCTCCTGCATGTTGGCGCACACTCTCCCCCTGTGGGGGGTGCTCTTGCATCATCCCTCCTTGTAGGACTCTCCTCTCTTGAGAAAGGGTTTCTGTGCTATGCAGAGAATTGCTTTTCCCATCGTGTCTGTCTCCTTAGTTAAAGCTCCCTTCGTGTTCCCTAGGAGGCTGCTCCAGCCCTGGATCACGACGGACACACTGGTTCAGCACAGAAATGAAGGAGCTATGAAGAGATGACCCTACTGCATGCCAAGGGAGCTGCAAGCGTAGCTCTAACGTGCAGGATGGAGCAGCAATGCAGTCTTGCCAAAGGCTGCTTGTTCTTCCTGCTGCAGGGAGTGGGGAATGCATCAAGTGCAGCTCCTCCTTGCAGTGGGATTACGCAGAAGTATAAAGCCTTAGGGTCATTTCTTGGACCAGGCTGATGATGATCCTGCATCTCTGCCTTTGGTGAAGTGAATGCTCCCTTTCATATATCTGAGGATGTGAGGAGGCAGCCTGGGCCTCTACCAAACAGCCCCAAACAAATAAGCAAATTAGAAGAAGTCAGGGCTCCTCTGCTTTGTTGTCTTTCATGTTTGGGCATAGAGCAGGTTCTGGGGCTGTCACAGGGCAGGTGATCAAGTATGTGCAAATGGGTTTTCTCCAGCTGAGAGAGTAGCAGCCTAGACATGGAATGAATAGCTAATGAATTAATTTAGTGGCACTCTTGTGCTCTTTGTCCTCAGGACCATGTGTGTGCAGCAGGGCATGTTGGGAGGTGGGGCCTCTCTTCACCTGGGGCTAAATATTTCTGCTCAGATTCCTTTTTGGGACTGTAAAGTGAGTGGACTCAGAACCCAGTTGGTTGTGCTCTCCTGATGTTAGCTGCAAAATCATGTTACTGACAAACAGCCTCACACTACCCTGGAGTGTGATTGGGGGGCTGCTATGAAATTGGGAGCCCCTGTAAGCCTGTGTGTGTGTGTGTGTGTGAGTGAGTGAGAGAGAGAGAGAGACTGCTTGTCTGTGAGTAATAGACTTTCCAACCTTCCCTCCCTTCTGTCTTTGGACCCTTAAAGAATTGCCCCTTTGTAGCACCAGGGGCTGAAGTCCCGGTGCCGGTTAATGCAGACTACCGGCCCCTCAGGGCAAGTAATAGTGAAGGATACTTGGATATTGCCTAGGCAAGTGTAGCTGTTGCAGAATTACTGTTTTTATTAACTGATTATGGTTTTTCATGGACCAAAATTTTTTTTGTACTGTATCCTTGTAGATGTCACACAATTTTAATAAAAGCCTCCTGTGAAGGAAGCCGCTTGCCCTCCTTCTGTGCTGGCGAATGGCAGTTTGTAGTTGTGTAACAGACAGCTTCTGTCACATAACTACTGTGGAAGAGATTAAATGACTTCCTGCTTGCACCTTCAAAGCCCCTTGTGTAGTGGGAGCTCTGTTCATTGAGGGAGAGCAAGCAAGAACACTAGACACCACTCCCTTTTAAAAGGAAGACAGCTTGTTTATATGGTCCAAATTTGACTCACCTTAAAATTGTGTGGAATTTGGAGGGTGCTACGTTATTTATAGGGCCCTACCAAATTCATGGCCATGAAAAACACATCATGGACTGTGAAATCTGGTGTTTTGTGTGCTTTTACCCTATCATAATCATCACTCCCATAACCGCATTGGCCGTTGGGGGCCCCCTCATTGATGAGCAATCAACCAGTTGTCTGCACCCCTGACAATTGTGTGTCAGTGCTTGAGACTCCATGAAGTCCATTCCTGTTCACTCTTTTTACATTGTCAATCCATTTCTTCTGTCTACCTCTTCTTCTCTTCCCCTGAACTGTCCCTTGAAGGATGATCTTGGATAGGCCAGATCTTGTTACATGGCTGTACCACTTCAGCTTGCGCTTCTTTACGGTCGTCAGGAGGTCTTCATGTGACCCAGCGCATTGGGTGATGATGTTGCGGACCTCTTCGTTAGTGACATGGTCAAAGTAGGAGGTGTCCAGGATTTTACGGAAGTATCTCATCTCTACTACCTGTATTTTCCGTTCAAGTTCTGCCACAATGGTCCGTGTCTCCCACGCATACAGAAAAATGGAAATGACCAGTGCCTGCAGCAGTTTCAGTTTGGATTCTAGGGAGATGTTCTTATTCCTCCAAATTGGCTTTAGCTTTGCCGCTGCTGCTGTTTGTGCAGTTCTTGCCCAAATTTCTGCCTTGGATCTTTCATCTGTGATGATTGCCCCCAAATACTTGAACTGTTTCACTGTCTCCAGTTCTTGTCCACTGACAGTGGTATGAGAGCTGATCCCATCACATTTGTTTGTCATCGGCTTGGTTTTCTCTGCACTGATTTCCATGCCATATTTTGCAGAGGTTTCGTTCAGTCATTTCACAAGGTTGGCACGTTCATCCTTGCCTGCCAGGCCATCAATGTCATTAGCGAACCGAAGATTTGAGATTGTTTGCCCCCCAATGGTGACTGTGCACACGTGATCTTCTAGGGCATCAGTCATTATGCGCTCCAAGTAGATGTTGAACAGTGTGGGCGAAAAAAGGCAGCCTTGCCAGACCCCAACCGTGGTGTGAAACCACTCTCCTATTGTGCCATTGACGAGAACTGCACTGCTGGCTTTGGCATACAGTTTAATGGTAAGAATAAGCTTACGACCAACATTGTACTACTTCATGGTTGCCCAGAGAGCTTCGTGCCATACTCTTGTCAAACGCCTTCCTGAAGTCAACAAAGATGTAGATGTCCTGCTGATGTTGTAAGTATTTCTCACATAGAAGACAAAGGTTGAATATCTGTTCTGTGGTACTTCTTCCAGCATGAAAGCCAGCCTGTTCTTCAGTGATGATATTCTCTGCTTGTGGCTTCAATCTGTTCAATATGACTTTCAACATCACTTTGCTGGGATGGCTAATTAAACTTACGGTCCAGTAATTTTGACACAATTGCAGGTTGCCTTTCTTTGGCAGAGTGATAATTAGTGACTGTGTCCAAATGGAGGGCCACTACTCACTGGTCTGCCAGATCTTGTTGCAGATCTTGGAGAGTATCTCTCTTACTATTTCTCTTCCGAATTTCATCAGTTTGGCTGGGATGTTGTCAATACCTGTAGCCTTTCCATTCTTGAGTGATTTCACAGCTGTCTCCATTTCTTCACATAGTATTGGAAAATCTTCCTTCTCTGTTTGAATCTGGGCTGTCTAAGACTCTGGGATCTCCATTTGTCTGGTGGTTGTATAGATCAAAGCAGTAGTTTGTCCACCTATTGATGCCCTTTCATCTGTAAGACTGTTCCCTTCTTTGTCTTGAATTGTGTTAGCTTTGGTCCATCTTTCCTTCGTCAGATCTTTTACAACATGGAAGGCTCGGCTGTTTTATTGTTGATACGCTCTCCAATTTTAGAGTATTGTTTTTCAATCCATATCTCCTTGGCCACCTTCATTCCTTTCTTGATCTTTCTGCCAGTCGCTCTGTATTTATCAGCTTTCTCAGTGCTGTTCTTGTCTCTCTTAAGTTCTCTTCTGTTGTCCCATATATGTAGTATTTCATTTGTGACCTGTGGTTTTGGTCTATTCTGTCCCCAGACCACACAGATTTCACGGGGAAGACCAGCGTTTCTCAAATTGGGGGTCCTGACCCGAAAGGGATTTTGGGGGGGGGAGGGGTTTGCAGTATTGCTACCCTCCTGCGCTGGTGGTGGTGGTGGTGGTGCCTTCAGAGCTGGGTGACCAGAGAGTGGCTGAGGGCCCAGCTCTGCAGGCAACAGCGCAGAAATAAGGGGGTCATACCATACCACACCATACCACCCTTACTTCTGTACTGCTGCTGGCAGCGGCTCTGGCTTCAGAGCTGGGCTCCTGGCCAGCAGTCGCCACTCTCCAGCTGGGGTCATACCACCCTTACTTCTGCACTGCTGCTGGCAGCGGCTCTGGCTTCAGAGCTGGGCTCCCGGCCAGCAATCTCCACTCTCCAGCTGCCCAGCTCCGAAGGCGGCACCGCAGAAGTAAGGGTAGCAGTACTGCAATCCCCCCACCCCACACACACGCGCGCTCCCTTTTGGGTCAGGACCCCTACCATTACAACACTGAGAAATTTCATATTTAAAGAGCTGAAATCATGAAATTTGCAATTTTTAAAATCCTGTGACCATGAAATTGACAAAAATGGAATATGAATTTGGTAGGGCCCTAGTTATTTACATTGAGTTTTATAAAACTACCTAAAACTCAGTGGAATTGGCATTAGACAAACAAGGTGGATGAGATGATAATTATTGTAGCATCTTCTGTTGGTGAGAGAGATAAGCTTTTCAGTTTGCACAGAGCTCTTCAGGTTTCAGTCTCCAGAATTTGTGTGGGCTACCAACAGGCTCCATCTGAGTCTGCCAGACCTGAAGAAGAGTTCTGTGTAAGCTCAAAACTTCTCTCTCTCTCTGTCACCAGCAGAAGATGATCCAGTAAAAGATATTTTCACCCCCCTTGTCTTGCTAATAGCCTGGGACCAACACAGCTACACTAACACTGCATACATGGGTTTGGCATGACACATGAAAACGATTGCTCTCACTGCTGCTTGGAAGCTGCAATTAACTAAAATTGTCTGAGCAGTACATGTTTGTATTACAGGTTGTATAGTGCTTCAGAGAGAATCCCCACATCATTCCTGTAAGGGAGAGATCCTCCCTGGCTACAGGTTAGGGAAACTGCCTTGCCCAAAGGCAACCTTCCTATACCTCAAACAGTTGTTGAATGGCAGCACTGGGATTAATGTAAAGTTCTTGTGTCTAAGTCCTGTCCTCAGCCCCATTCTCAGAGTCAGTATATTGACCCCTTCCAGCAAAGTATAAATGTTTTCTGAAGAAAATGTAAAGGGGTGTGTGGTTTATTGGTCAAAGCGAGAAAGTCAAGACTGAAAGGTCCTCTTCCTGGTTCTGTCACCTGGGACCTTGGGTGCAAGTTACTTCACTTTGATAAAGGAAACATAATCCTCAGGCTTGAGAGAAACAACTGTTTTTATTATTTTAAAAGAAAAGAAAGGTACGAGTGTTCCTGTCTCTGAGCCCTAGCGGCTTAGTTCTCAGATGCCTCCTTAGGCATGTTGATACTGAGGCCTGCCAGTTGCTTCAGCTATCAAAGCCCACGTGCTTCTTACCAACCCTCCCAGGCCTCTGCCCCAAGTAGCTCATCCGTAACCTTGCACTGCTTTTCAACCTTATTTATTGGCTTGCCTTGTGGCAACCATCAGTCTCTGGGCTTTCAAATGAAATGTTCCAACCCACAAAGGCCTCTGTTGTCCCTCTGTGTCCCCAACACATTTGCTGGCTCCAGGATCAGCCTTGTGCTCTGAATGGCAAAACCCTGCCTCCTGCACAGTTTGTCCCTTCAGTGTAAATGCTGTGCTTCTCTCTGACCTCTTCGTGCCTTTGGCTCTGAGGCACTGATACTTTGTGCCACTCAAGCCAGCCTTCACTGTGACTGGCGGGTGCCACCCCAGGGCCCACAGCAGTAATGATCTCCCTGCTTGTCTCCCATGGCCCTCAAAGCGCTTTGAAAAGGTGAGTAAGGGGCAGTCTGGGAAGGGCAAGGCGTGTTGAGGGGCGAAGGCAAGGACCCTCCTCTCCCTTCTCCTGTGTCTCCACTGCCGCCCCCCCCACCCCCCAAAAGAAGCTGGCCCGGCGAGAGGCGCGACTTGCGGCCCCTGGGGGCGGGGTTCTCTGCAGGGGGCGGGGCCCACCCTGCCTGGGGGGCGTTAAATGCCCCCCGTCCTGGTGGGGCGGCGCAGTCGCCGCCTGCCTCCCCTTCGCCGACCATGGGCGGCCGGAAAGTCTGTATCGTGGGCTCCGGCAACTGGTGAGCATCCCCGGGGCCGCGTCCCCTGCCGCCCATGGAGCCGAATCCCGCAGCCGGCCGCGGAGCCTGCGCTTGGGCGGCCGTGGGCGAAGCCGGGATTCCCGTCCGGGGCGGCGGCTCCCAGCCGAGCGGGTCAGGCCGGGCCCTGGCTGCCCCGGGGCCGCCCCCTGGCCGGGGTTGGGGGCTTTGCGCCCCGCTGCCTCGGAGCCGGGCTTGGATGCGCGCCCCCCGCGGTCTGCCCCCTTGTTCTCTGCCCCGCCGGAGCCCTGCTTGTCCCTCTGCCCTGCCCTGCCGCCCCGGGGCTCGGGGTTATCCCCGCACACAGCCAGCGGCCCCGCCCCATTCCCTGCCCCAAGTGTCCTTAGCCCTGTTAACCCCCCCGCTCCTTCGACCTCCTCCTTTGACCCCCCCCCCCCGCAGTGGATCTGTGGGGTGCCCTGGGGCCCTGCCGGGGGCTCTGGTGGGACCAGTACCTGGGCGAGTGCCAGCCCTCCCCACCACCAGGGAAAAGACTCAAGGCAGGGGACTGGCATCCAGTCCCCTTTCTGTGACCGTGGCCAAAGCCGGGGGCCTTGCTCTGCCGGGGCCATGTGGGAGAGCCCGCGCAGAGATTCTGCTGCTCAGGACCCATTGCCCCTTCCGGTGCCTGATTGTGCTCTCCCTCTGTGACACCCGCCCATACATCTGCCTCCTCTGCTCCCTGCAGGGGCTCAGCCATCGCCAAGATCGTGGGCCGCAATGCAGCCAAGCTGGAGCAGTTTGACACCACGGTGAACATGTGGGTATTTGAGGAGGAGGTGGGTGGGAAGAAGCTCACCGAAATCATCAACACGCAGCACGAGAACATCAAATACCTGCCAGGGCACAAACTGCCGCCCAATGTGGTGAGTCCAATATTTTTTTTTGAGGGGGGAGACACTATTTCACCAGTGGGCAGGCTCTGTAGTCACATCAGGTACAGGCTGGGGAGATGCATGGAAGGTTCCTGGTGTTTCACTAGCACCTTTTGCTCCGAAGCACATGGAGGCTGAGGTGTTGCAGCCAGCTCTGGGCTGGAGGGCAGCAATCGAACATTGCACAACACACTGCAATTGGGCAAAGACCTGATGAGCGGCTATCCTCAGGTTCCAAAGCTGCCTGGATCTCCCACTCAGCTCCCCGGGAAGCACAAACTAACCCTGCTGGAATGAAGTGATTCCAGGCCTGATGCTTAGACTGCTAAGCCACCTCTTTCCACTGCCAAAGCACATGCCAACCGATACCCCAGGAACACTTCATGGGCCACTGAAATGCAGTCAGTGCTGGGGTGGGCCCCAGCAGCTGTTCTCCAGCACCTAGCAATGTCACATGACCTCACAGGCTGGGAAGAGGCAGAGACATGTCTCCTGTTGAAACTGCTGGGAGGATTGCAGGGGAGCTTGGGGGCAAATGCCTCCCTCTCCAGCCACAGCAGAGCCCCGAAATGCAGCTGTGGATAGAGGAGCTGGCTTGTGTCTCTCCCAGCAGAGTGAAGATCAAGGGGGGCAAGGCCTGTTTTCAAAGGCTTGTCTCCGTGGTGACGGAGGTAATAAATAACTATCTGCTCCGGAGTCGTCTAACTGAGCTGGTTCCCTGAGGCCAGGGGACAGAGGGAATGGCTTGTGCAACCCTTGCGGGGACGGCTCCTGCTCAGTTACTCATTCATGCAGTGACCTTGCCCTGTGCACCCTGCACTGTGGCCCCTGGCTTCTCTTACCCCATGGAGCCCCGCTCCCCTCCCCGCTGTTTGGCTGACCCTGTTTCTCACCCATGCGCATGCTCTACCGCACCCCTGACTGATGCAATGGGTGCCCTAGTTGCTCCTCACACCATACTGGATGGGAACCGCGCTGCATGTCTGGTTGTGCTTCAGGGTGTCAGGCCTGTGAAAAGCCCCCGTCTCTCCAGGGATCTGTGGTGTTTTAGGGGCAGTGACCTCCATTACAGAACCATGTGCCAGCAGAGGAGCAGAGTTAAACCCAATTAAGACCCCCAGATAGGTGTGTGGTCTCCCCATCCATCAGCCTCATCTCCTGTCCCCACCCCAACCTCCCTGTCCTCTTGGATGGCCTCTCTCTTCCTGTCCTGGCCATAGGCTGAGCCTTCCTCCAGGTGGTGCTGTGCCATAGAATCATAGAATATCTGGGTTGGAAGGGACCTCAGGAGGTCATCTAGTCCAACCCCCTGCTCAAAGCAGACCAATCCCCAATTTTTGCCCCAGTTCCCTAAATGGCCCCCTCAAGGATTGAACTCACAACTCTGGGTTTAGCAGGCCAATGCTCAAACCACTGAGCTATCCCTCCGCCCGTCTTCAAGCCCTGGTTGCCTCATTGGACCCTGTCCCAAAGACCCTGCTTGAACTCTAGGATTGAGGGGAGAAGGTCACGTGGCTCCTGACTTCAGGTGGGCTGTGTCCTTGCAGAACATGCTTCCTCCACAGGGGAGCCTCTGGCAGCCCACATTCCCCACATTACCTAGTAATGCCCAGGGTTTTACAGGCCCCTCCTGGCACTAGGTAGCAGCTCTGTGACAATGGACACAGCTCCTTGGTGATGGGCCCATTCCCCTGCAGGTGGCGGTACCAGACCTGCTGACGGCCTCAGCTGGGGCAGACATTCTCATCTTCGTGGTGCCCCACCAGTTCATCGGCAAACTCTGTGAGCAGCTCAAGAACCATGTGAAGAAGGAGACCATCGGGGTGTCGCTCATCAAGGTGTGAGCGGGGAGCAGCATCTAGATGCTGAGCCTCTGAGCCTGGTTCACAGGGGTGGCTCTGTGCGCTGGTTGGCAGGGCATGAGCTGGGTAGGGAAGGGAGCTGGGTTGTAGCAAGAGGGGGCCAAGTCTGTAGGTGGACAAGGAGCTGGGGAGGAAGAGTCTAAGGCATTTTTCACCTGGAAACTGGGTTTCATGGGTATAACAGGCACGTTCAGGCCGCGGCACGGAGGGGAGCAGCAAGCAGGGTAACTCAGAAGGAATAGGAACAGGGTACTTGACTGTGCGGGGGGAATACTGCTATGGCATTGGGAGAGGGTGTGTGGGATGAGGGGAGACTATGGACCAAGCATTGGGATTGGTGGAGGGATAATGGGGCATGGGCATGGGGGTTAGGGCACTACGGAGACAATAGAGATCATCAGGTGGGAGACCGAGGCATGACGGTGGGCCATGGGCCAGGGTTTAATGCAGGTGGGGCACAGGAGACCCAGAGCGCAATGCAACTGAGGGAGCTTGGGAGATACAGGGCATCCGACCCCTGGGGCAATAACCACTGCTCCTGGTTGCATCGCAGGGGGTAGATGAGGGCCCAGAGGGGCTGAAGCTGATCTCGCACGTTATCCACGAGTGGCTGGGCATCGAGATGAGCGTCCTGATGGGGGCCAACATTGCCAATGAAGTGGCGGAGGAGAAGTTCTGCGAAACAACCATTGGTAACGAGCTAACCCCCCACTGTTGCCCCCTCAGCCTGGAGCCAGGGAGGGGGCAGGGCTAGAAGGGGTTAAAATACCCCACCCTACTCAGGGGCTTTACCAGTCTTCCCTCCCAGGACAGAGGTCCTGCCTGCTGCCCACCCCAGGCACAGGGCTTGGGGTGGGGGTCGGCAGGGAACCCCTGCAGGTGTCATGCTGAGGGAACTGATGCCATTGCTTAGTTGGGTGGCGTTAGAAAAGTGACTCTTCCTCCCCAACCCATCCCTGCACCATCGGGGTGGGTCTTTGAGCATCAGCCAGCTTCACCAGTATGACTGTGTGAATTTTCTGGATTTTCTGGCTTTGCACCATTGGCAAGGGGCACAAGCCTCTTGACTCCAAGGGGGCTGGAGCCTTGTGGGGGAACTGAGCAGAGGCCATGTGGCATCATGTTAAGGGAACTTCTGGTGACACTCTCCCAGTCTTCCATTATCAGTAGGGTAGCTGGAAAGCTCAGCTGATGACAGGCCCGCTGTGTGGCCTGTTTGTTAAACATAGAAGCAGCCAAGATCAACAGAGTGGCTGGCTGGCTTGGGCACCTCTTCCGTTCATGAAATTCAAAGGTGGCTTTGGCTTTAAAAGCAGGCAAGACACGGCAAAGGGGGTGGGGGGAGGCAGGCTGGAATGTTGTAAACCCATCATGCTCTTAGTCCTAATCATGGGGGTGCCTAGCAGCCAAAGCCCCGTTGTGTTGGGTGGTGCACAACCACACAGACAGTATCAGTCCAAGAGCTGGCAGGACTGAGGACCATTTTCATGGCATGGATGCATGTCAGTTATATCTTGGTGGATGCACCAGAGGCTTGGAGTTGGTCAGGTCTCCTGGGAACTATTTTGGGGATATTACTTTATCTAGCATTGCAGCCTGAATGTGGCACTTTCCAGCCATGCATAGCAGCCACGTCCTTGTCCTATGGGGCGCCACTCAGGCAAAATGCAGACAGCAGAGGAGCAGTGTTGCAGCATGAAAACCAAGAGGCTGAGCTGGGTCTTGTACCATGTTACGTTCATGGGTTTTTTTAATTTAGGGCAAAAATTTCAAACCTGGATGCTTGGAGTCAGGGTCTTTGAGCCCTTCGCTGGCCTGGCTTTCAGAGGGGCCAAGACCTGTTGAAATCAGGCAATCAGAGCTGCTGACTATGAAGCCAGGTCCTGCCCATGCCTAAATGTTGATGTAGGAGCCTGGCCCCATGTCTGAAAATCACAGCCTCTCCTGGTCCATTATTAAAGTGGGCACTGTAGCTCGGGGACAGTCCTCCAGTCCTGGGTCTTTGCCTGCTAATAGCTATGTTTTACAGTAACATCTCTTCCTTCTGGGTTATTTGCTGTGTTCAGAGTCTCCACCCCTGCTGAATGTGTTGTTTTAATTATTAAGAAATATGCCTCACTCATACAGACCAGAGCTGGTGAGCCTGTTTACAACAGCTCCTTCTAGACACCCAGGCCACACCTGTGGCTCACCCTTCGTTTGTATAGTGCCCAGCAGTAGGGACCCCGCCCAGATCTGGAGAGGCAGTGTGGGGGTGATGGTCATACAATACTATGCATCCGGTCAGGGTAGGATTGTTCCCTGCAGCATCTGTCACAGCATATTAAGAGCAACTTGGGTCCAACCGCCGTTATGGCTGTACAGGTCAAAGCCTCCATTGCGCATCCCTGGGGAGCTGTTGGGGGATTAGAGCGGAGAAGCAGTGACCCAGTGCAGGTGCCTCGCCCCTTGGGGGTCTGTCTTGTGTATTCGTGTTTGTTGCCCCCACAAGGAGATGAGTGACTCACACATAAAGGTGGCATTCATTCAACTCAAGAGCAGGCAGGGAAAGCCAAGCACGTGTTGTCCCTAATTAGGTCTCAGCATGTTAAAGTCATGCCAGACGTGCTCTGGGTATAGGCTCCTTATTAAGTCAAAATCGTGATTCTGTCTCCAGTTGAATTAGCAACAGGGCTCTGCAACTGCTTCATGTTCCAGTAACATTCATCAATCCACTATGAGGGTAAGAGTCGAAGCCTGCAGCAGAGGGACAAGGGGCATAGGTTGGGGTGGCGGTGAGGGGAGCATTTAGGGATTTGTAATGTCAAACAGCCAGGCTGTGGTTCCCTTTATCACTGCAACAGCTGCAGACTCCACACCCCTTGCTGCTGTCAGTCCTTGATAGACCATCTGTCTCCCATGATATCCCAAGGCCACCAAGGCTAACGACTGATCCAGTCTGTGTTTGTCCAGCATCCATGCAGGAGCTTTGCAGCAGGTTTATTTCTCCTTGCCTGTCGATGCTTTCCTCGGTCAACACTTTGAGGACTTTCCATGAGGGCAACTGTCTGTGTATGTTCAGGAGTGCTGGATGAAATTCAGAGGGACCCCACAGGGGTTGGCTCACGCTGCCTGTTGGCCTGGCAAGACTTGGATTTAAATTATATTTGGAGGGTAGGGCTCATGCGCTGCCCTTCTGCCCCATCCACTCAGGGAGTCTCAGAGCACTTCACCAGCATTAAGCCCCCCGCTCCCAGCAGCCCACAGAGGTCACTGTTGTCCCCACCAGGGCCGGCACCAGTGTTTTTGCCGCCCCAAGCGGCAAAAAAACCCAAAAAACTTGCCGCCGAACACAGTGGCGGAGTGATGGTGTGGCCACCGAATTGCCACTGAGCGTGAAACGTGCTGTGACGGAGCAGCTGCCGAATTCCTGCCGCCGCCGAGGGCAGATTGCTGCCCCAGAGCCCGATTGCCACCCCTTTACATTTGACTCCCCAGGCACCTGCTTGGTTCGCTGGTGCCTGGAGCTGGCCCTGGTCCCCACTGTGTGTCAGTTTCCCCATCTGCACCATCTGGTTGTTACTATGATGTGTCAAACTGGGTTGCTGGAACCCTGGGAATGGAAACCAGGAGTCCTGGCTGTTAAGCCCTGCATTTAGCTGATCAGGGTGAGATGCCATGTGTAGCAGCTGGAGTTGTGTTCCTGTATTAATGATGTGTCCCAGAGGAGGGAATCCTGCTCCGGAAACCTGCACCTCTGCTTCCTTTTGCAGGTAGGACCCTGGAGTCCTTTTGTGGAGCCTCGGCACAGGGGCTGGACCAGTCCATGTGCCATCTCTGCTGCCCTAGTGTAGATAAAACCAGATCCCTCCCCGCTGCTCTGCAAGGCCCCAGCTCTAACACCTGGCAAGAGGGGCTGAGCTATCAGGAGTGTGGAGGCATGCATTCATCTCCCCTACTGGGCAGGTTGGAGGTGGGTACAATCCTCTCCAGGGTGTCTGCCAGTAACGCTGCTCCCCTCCCTCCCCCCCTTTTAGGCTGCAAGAACCTGGAGCATGGGCAAATCCTGAAGGAGCTGATGCAGACGTGCAACTTCCGGATCACTGTGGTACCGGAGGCTGACACTGTGGAGATCTGCGGGGCCCTCAAGGTGCATGAAAGGGCAGGGCATTGGGTTAGCAACAGGCCTGGCCTGCCATCTCTGCAGGGCATTTAGGGAGGCTAAATGGAGAGGCCCAAGTTGGACTTTGGCTGGGTCACCACTGGCACAAAGCATCATGGGAGCAATGGGGAGGCCTCAGTGTTACACCAAGTCCAGCAGCATGCCCATGCTGAGGCAAGTGGACATAGTGGGAAGGATGCCACCTAGGTCTCCCATCCAGGTGCTGGCCTGATCCACTCCTGCTTAGTTGACACTCTGAGCAGGAGGAGCAGGTATGGGCCCTCAGGAAGGTGCCTTGATGCTCCAGGAACATGCAGGCAGCTTGTGGCACTGACAGGGTGAACCCTGCTGGTAACAGGCTCCTCTGGGCTGTCATCCCCCCAGAACGTCGTAGCTGTAGGGGCTGGTTTCTGTGATGGCCTGAGCTTCGGGGACAACACCAAGGCAGCTGTGATTCGCCTCGGGCTGATGGAAATGATTACCTTTGCCAAGCTCTTCTGCAAAGGCCCTGTCACCTCGACCATCTTCCTGGAGAGCTGTGGGATCGCCGACCTTATCACCACCTGCTATGGTGGCAGAAACCGCAGGGTGGCTGAGGCCTTTGCCAGGACTGGGAAGGTGCGTGCCAGGGTGGGGAACATTGGTGGCATCAGGGACCTGAGCCTCCTGGTCTTTTGTGGGAGGAGGAGGGATGGGGCTGGGCAGTAAATGGGCTGTAGCAACAGGTGCCCTGTCCTGGTGGGTCGGAGCCCGGTGGCCTAACTTTCCTGGTGAATCTGGTCAGCACTCACTGTCCCTGCTGCATTGGCTCAGCCAGTGCTGAATGCTGCAGAGGAAAGTGTAACTCCTCCACACCCATAACTGGACAGAGCTCTGCCCTGACACAGCCCTGGTGCACAGCTGTGAGCCCGTAGGTCAGATCCAGGCGGTGGCTGCTCTCTGCAGCCCATTTAGTCCTCCCGTGATGAAGCTTTCTGAGCTGGGGAAGGAAGGACAGGCTGGGGGCCGGGGGCTGCAGGTGAATGGGCCCAGCTCACCTTGTGGTTGGGTTGTATTTGGCTTGTTTAGTCCATTGAGCAGTTGGAGAAGGAGATGCTGAATGGACAGAAGTTGCAGGGTCCCCAGACGTCCGCCGAGCTGAACCACATCCTCAAACACAAGAATCTGGTGGAGAAGTGAGTGCTGTTGCCCCTCCCCTTGGCCTTGCCCATGGTCTCCCTTGGAGCCCCACCTATGAGTAGGTCGGGCTCTCTGGCACATCCCAAGCCTTAGCTCTGCACCCACATGTGTAGTAGAAGTGGACCTGCCCCAGAGTCTGGATTGTCTGCCCCAGAGATCAAGGTCCTTGGTGGAGACAGAGGGTCAGCCTGCTAACTCCGGTGAAATCCCAGCAAACCACCAGTTGGGCAGCTGGATGGTGGCAGCAGCTCATTCCTTGTTAGCTGATCTGGCGCTTTGTCCCTGCGTCAGTGTCTCTCTTGTTGCCCATATAGCTTTTGGAGTTCGCCTTTCTTAGGCTCCCAGGCCGCGGTGTTGTCAGGCACTATGGGCAGTGTCTGCCATTGTCACCAGCTCCTGCCTTCCAGTCTGGTTCCTCATTTATGAGCCGCCTGGGTAGGTGCCTAGTGCATGTGAGGACAGGCCTGCCTGGGGGCTGCACATCAGCTGCTCTGCATGCTGGATTGCAAAACTGCACCCTCCTTGCCTGATATGGGAACAGGAGCTCCAGTCTCCTGCAACCACCCCAGCCATGGTGGTTTTTAGAGCAGGTGATGCTGCTCTTCTCACATGTCAGGCCAGGCAGAACTGGTGCTAAACCCAGAAGAGATCATCTTGGTGTAGCAGTGACTTGCCAGTTACCTCTGAGTGCAACCACAGGGTCCTGACTCCTGTGTGTGCAAAGCCAGGCATGTACCTGTGCAGATCTCGTAAGCTAAGTAGGGCCATCTTGGCCAAGACCCTGGAGGGGAGACCTGTGGGAAAAGCAAGGTGTTACATTTCTGATTCAGTAGGAGACACTCTTCCCCCTGGATTGGTGTTGAGCCCCAATGCCCAGCAGAGGGGTTGGGGGAGGTGTCACCTGTTGAATGAGGCACCAAATGTCTGTGGTCGTTAAGATCTTGTGGCACCGAGTGCTAATGCCAGGATCGGGGCTGTGCTCTATCAATGTCCGGTCTGATCTGTCTCTGTAGTCTCGGCTGGATACACCAGTCTTCATTTCCTGCCCCAAAGTGCTAAGTGCTGGTAAGCAAAAGATGTGGGGTGCAGGGATCCCTGTTGTTCCTGCAGCTGATGCTACAGAGGTTGAGACTCTGTATGTATTAGAAATGGATTTGCCACCATCAGTGCTGCATAGTGCATCACTTTGTCCATCTGCCCATAGGTTCCCCCTCTTCACTGCTGTTTATCAGATCTGCTACGAGGGCAAACCCATCGCTGACTTCATCAACTGCCTCCAGAACCATCCTACCCACATGTAACTAGGCCCGAACCGCTGAAACGGGGAGAAAGCCACTGACGCAGCATGAGCCTTCATGTACAGAGACACTGGATCCTCCATGAGCCATGGCAGACCATGAGTAAGGGGGGGTCCTTTCCATCGCCCTGGGGCTGGGTAGCCCTCAGCCTGGCGATGCTCTCTTGATTCTATATGAAGGCACCAAATTAAACTCCCTCCTTCTCTGGGGTGTCTAAAATTTGCTGGCCCCCAGGATATCCTCCTTGGGGAGGACATGGCATCATATTCCTCATCAGTGATGCAACTGGTGCTGTTCACTGTGCGGCTCTTCTGGGCTTCCTTCGTGAGCTGTCTGTAGATGAAGCATTTGGAGGTTGCTTTGGCTGTGAGGACAGTCTACTTTTGCGCGCTGTATCCCTGACAGGGGCTGCCTGGCAGGGCAAAAGTCCCTTGTTGTCTGCTGCAGTGGTAGTTTGTTACTATTTTTTTTTAGCTTACCCTCCCCGCAGCGAGGGACTGAGAACATGTGCGGACACCTGCCAGATTTTATCTGTCCACTGCCAAACTCTTTATGATTTTAAAAGGGGTCATTGATCTTCATTTGTATAATCAGCCCCAGGGCATAGGAGCACCTGCACATGAAACACTGCTCCCCAAAGTCTCTTCCATTGCCTTGGTTCCAGCCCAGCCCTGATTGTGACACTGCCAGGACCCAATCAAACTGGTGAGGGTGAAGTCTCATTTTTGTGCCAAGATAACTCCACAGGTGTCAAAAGGCAGCTTCCCAGGGCTGTGTCCACTGCAGATTGTTAGAAGCAGCCAAAGGAAGTTCTTTGGCCTTTTACTCTGCAGCTCAAAGCAAACCCCACTGGATACTCAGATTCCTGAATCCTCTCCTGTCCCCTGTGACTCTTGGGCCACTCTGCCTTGCAGCTCCCTGTTGTGTCCCATGTAGCTCTTCGTCCCTTCTGAGCTTTGTGCAGCTCCTGTCTGGCTCGTGCAACCAAGGGACTCATGTCCCTAAGTCAGAACTGCAGTGGGCTCCCCTACCTGGATGGGTGGGTTGCTGGCTGTGAATCTTGTTAGCACTGCACCTTCCTGAGCAATTGGGCCAAGCTGCTTTTAATCAAGAAATGGGCTGGACCTGGAACAGCCTCCTGGCCCCCAGAGCATCTGGATTCTGTGCTTTGGGCCTGTCTCTGCTTTTACTTGTGTGCCTTGGAGGCTGCACCCTCCCTGATGTTCCTTTTGCTCTTGCCTGTGGGCTCTTGACAGGCCCAGCTGGGGAGGCTGAAGCTGTCCACTATAATAGGGGCCATCAGTTGTCAACTGAGCTGCATTTCCCTGGAGTAACCCCTGACCTGGAGGCTGTGGGAGGGGAGACATTCACCAGCACAAAGGGGAGCTGGGGTCCCTGTTGACTTTCAGTGGGCATCAGGCACCTTGCTGCCCTATTTGCCTTTGAAAATGGCCCCTCAGCTAGCAAACCTGTTACAAGCCTGTCTGAACCCTGTCACAAAGCTGGATAATTGCTTGCTACAGCTTCACAAGGTTGTGGCCTCCCAGTGCCCCAGGCTGGGCTCATGGGTGTGAGTGAGCAAAATGCTCTCCCACCCCCAGCGCTGGATTTGCCTGGTGTCTCTGGCTGGCTGAACATGAAAGTACTTCGATTGTGAATGTTTAATTAAAATAATATGGGGACATGAAAAAAAACCTCAGCCCCCAGTCTCTGCAGTCTCATTCTGCTGGTGCTGGCTGGACCTAGGGCCAGTGCGAGGCCAGACTAGTGCATCCCCACCGTCCCTTCTGGCCTTAAAATCTCTGTGCTGTACCCCAGAGGGATGGTATAGAGCCCCTAGCGGAGGCAGGTACAGCTGAGTGGCAGGGCTGGCTGCAGGGTTCCAGTTTCTAACTGGTGCCTTGGCTGACTGCTGTGATTCCATTTCATACGCTGGATGGGATGGACCCAAAGGAGCTGGGGCAATTGAGATCTTGCCGCCCACAAGGGATTGGGCGGAGTTCTAGGATACTGTTTCTGTGTCTCTCCATAAGTGGGACCCAGGGGTGGGGCGGGGGAATAGGGCTGGGACCCTGCAGTAAGAAGCTTGTGCAGCTGTAACCCCAGAGCCTATTTCCACAGGCTCCTCTGACATGCTGTCTTGCTGGTGTGTTCCTTGAGGCTTTATTCTCCATGCTGTTTTACCCCAGGACCGCTGGTTCCTCTTAGCAAAACTTGTCCAAGTACCTCCAGCTGGGTTGCCTCCCTGTAAAACACACCTTGTCCTAAGTGAGCTTTCCAATCCCCCTCCCACCAAGCTTTAGCCAGGGGAACTTAATCTGCTGATACTACAGTCACTCTTGTGCCTTTTATTAGATGCTCATTCTCTCCAGATACCCTCTGACCTTTAGACTGAACTGACTGTATAGAAGGCTGCCAGCTTCAGCCTCCTCCCGATCCTGCTGGAGCTACAGAGAAGAGAAAGAACCTTACGCCCCTGCACCCTGACACCAGTCTTGGTGCTGGCTTTCTGCTCCTATTGCCTTGGAGATCTGAGAAGTCCAGCTCCTTTTGCATGAGGTGCTTCTATCAGAGATCCCGCATTAATATGCAGGAGGACTCTCCCACCCAGCCACAGCTGAGTCCCAGCGTCTCCCTCAGAGCAGTCTCTGAATTACTCCAGCCTAGGCCCATTGCAGGGTGGGAGGGTCTCTGAAATGCTTCTCACCCTGCCCCATAAGCTGCTCTCCAGTCCCCCTGCAAGCAGGCTTCTTACACCCTGGCCTTGCATGCCCCAGATCCCAGTGGTCCAGATATTGCAGTGCCTGATGCCAGGCTGGCAGGGTGTGTGTAAGGATGTGGCTGCAGCAGCTTCTTTTACAGGTAGGTGCTTCCTGTATTCCCCAGGTTGCCTTGTCACATCCAGTAGTGGAGGGTTTTTTAGTAGCGAGGGCTGAACTTGATGTGCTAGCACTGAGCAGCTTTACCTGGGATGTGGCTAGCTTGGTCCTACCATCAGACTTCACTGCAGGTGTGACAGAGCCCAAATCCCCTGGGGCAAGGATGGGCAGAGCTTGTCTCTGAGAGCCTCACTGTTCGTGGGGAAAAGCTCCCCTCCCCTGCCCTGCCCAGCTGCTGGAGGTCGCTGGCTATAAAAAGTCTCCCCTTTGCCATTTGGAGTTATGTTCTGCAGACACAGCACACGTCAAAGGGCACTCTGGATGTCAGTGCGGCTCCAAGAGCTGCATCTGTTCTGATCCCAGGTGCGGGGGGGGGGGGGGATCTTTACTTGCCAGCAGACCCAGAAATGAAGCAAGCAGGGAAGCAGCCTAAGCATTTCCACTCTCAGTTTGTCTGTGGCTGCGAGGGACTTTCAAGTTGGAGCAAACTTTTATGAAGTCAGCACTAGGGTGCTAGCCCTCAGGCTGCAGGGCTAGCAGCAGTGAGCATATATCCTTGCTGCTGGCCCTTTGGAGGAGCTAAGTCGGCATCCTGGCAGCATAGCAACTGTGGGTGCTGTGACGAAGCGGGACTGTTCTTAATGTTTCCTCTGAATATTGTGGGGATGCCTCAGTTTCCCCTAGGCAGTTCTTAAGTATCTAGGGGGTGGGATAAGGGTGTATGATCGTTGCAGAGCCCTAGAGGGCAGGTGTGTGCAGGGGTCTGGACACAGAGAATGGCCGACACCCTGTTTCCTGGCAACTGATGGCCTGGCCCTTCCACCCTGCAAGGTGAGATCTAAAGAGTTGGAGAACAAAGGAATCAGGTGACCTCCTGGCCCGGGAAAGGGACAAAGCCATGGGGAGGAGGGGCTGGAGGGAGTTTCAGTTTGGGGCTGGCTGGGGACATGCAGTGAAGTGCAGACGGGGTTGTCTGTCTTACTGACCCCCAAAATGGACCCAGCTGAGGGGTCCTGTTCTCTGCACCCACAAGCTCTGTGTTAGACCATGTTCCTGTCGTCTAATAAACCTTCTGTTTTACTGGCTGGCTGAGAGTCACGTCTGACTGTGAAGTTGGGGTGCAGGACCCTCTGGCTTCCCCAGGACCCCGCCTGGGCGGACTCGCTGGGGGAAGCGCGCAGAGGGGCAGAGGATGCTGAATGCTCTGAGGTCAGACCCAGGAAGGTGGAAGCCAGGGGAGCTTTGTGTCCCGCAGACCGGCTGCTCCCCGAGAGGAGACTCCCCCAGAGTCCTGCCTGGCCTCGTAGGGAGCAGTTCCAGAGCATCGCCCGGGGACTCCGTGACAGGTGACTTGTGCTGTGTTATTGTGAGAGGGACACCTGTTTGGCGGTAAGCAGGCTGCAGCCTCCTCTACAGACCTGCTGCTGTGCAAACTTACCTTAGGGGAATACAAGTCCCTTGTCCTCTTTCTCCTCCCCAATACATCTAATGTGAGTGCTGTGAGGGGCTCACATGAACAACAGAAAGGTGAGTATGGGAGGGTTTCAGAGTAACAGTGTGTATCCACAAAAAGAAAAGGGGTACTTGTGGCACCTTAGAGACGAACAAATTACAAGGACTCCTTTCCTTTTTATGGGAGGGTTGCGGACCACGGGAAAAGCACGGTATGCTACTGTGTGCGGGAGACAAGCAAGCAGCTCATGTCATACGGGGGGGGGCAGGGAGTAGCAGCTCATGTCACACGGGGGGGCAGGGAGTAGCAGCTCATGTCACATGTGGGAGGAACAGAGGGGGTAGCAGCTCATGTCAAATGGGGGGGCAGGGGGTAGCAGCTCATGGGGGGGCGGTAGCAGCATGTCACACGTGGGGGGGCAGGGGGTAGCAGCTCATGTCACACGGGGGGGCAGGGAATAGCAGCTCATGTTGCGGAGGGGCAGGGGGTAGCAGCTGATGTCACACGGGGGGGCAGGGGTAGCAGCTCATGTCGCGGGGCGGCAGGGGGTAGCAGCTCATGTCACACGGGGGGGTGCAAGAGGTAACAGCTCATGTCGCGGGGGGTGCAGGGGGTAGCAGCTGATGTCACACTGGGGGGGGCAGGGGTAGCAGCTGATGTCACGCGGGGGGGCAGGGGGTAGCAGCTGATGTCATGCGGGGGGGGCAGGGGGTAGCAGCTCATGTCACACGTGGGGGGGCAGGGGGTAGCAGCTCATGTCACACGCGGGGGGGCAGGGGGGTAGCAGCTCATGTTGCGGAGGGGCAGGGGGTAGCAGCTGATGTCAAGCGGGGGGGCAGGGGGTAGCAGCTCATGTCACATGTGGGGGGAACAGAGGGGGTAGCAGCTCATGTCAAATGGGGGGGCAGGGGGTAGCAGCTCATGTCACACGTGGGGGGGCAGGGGGTAGCAGCTGATGTCAAGCGGGGGGCAGGGGGTAGCAGCTCATGTCACACTGGGGGGGCAGGGGTAGCAGCTGATGTCACGCGGGGGGGGCAGGGGGTAGCAGCTCATGTCGCGGGGGGGGTGCAGGGGGTAGCAGCTGATGTCACGCGGGGGGGGCAGGGGGTAGCAGCTCATGTCGCGGGGGGGGCAGGGGGTAGCAGCTGATGTCACGCGGGGGGCAGGGGTAGCAGCTGATGTCACGCGGGGGGGCAGGGGGTAGCAGCTGATGTCACGCGGGGGGGCAGGGGGTAGCAGCTCATGTCACACGCGGGGGGCAGGGGTAGCAGCTCATGTTGCGGAGGGGCAGGGGGTAGCAGCTGATGTCAGCGGGGGGGGGGGTAGCAGCTCATGTCACATGTGGGGGGAACAGAGGGGGTAGCAGCTCATGTCAAATGGGGGGCAGGGGGTAGCAGCTCATGTCACACTGGGGGGGCAGGGGTAGAGCTGATGTCACGCGGGGGGGGGCAGGGGAGCAGCTCATGTCGCGGGGGGCAGGGGGTAGCAGCTGATGTCACGCGGGGGGCAGGGGTAGCAGCTGATGTCACGCGGGGGGGGGCAGGGGGTAGCAGCTGATGTCACGCGGGGGGGGCAGGGGGTAGCAGCTGATGTCACGCGGGGGGGGCAGGGGTAGCAGCTGATGTCACGCGGGGGGGGCAGGGGGTAGCAGCTGATGTCACGCGGGGGGGGCAGGGGTAGCAGCTGATGTCACGCGGGGGGGGGCAGGGGTAGAGTCACGGTGGGAGGCGCGTGGGGAAGGAGCCCGTGGAGGGGCGGAGCGGAGGCGAACGGAGGCGGGCGGACCCGGCTCTGCCCCACGAGCGGGGCGGGAGGCTGGGGCAGGAGCGGTGGCAGCAGGACAGACTCCCGGGTGACGGGGCTGGGGCGGGAGCCAGCGGCACCGGGCGGCGGCCGCTGCAGGCTCGCGTGTTCCCGGGCCCGCCTGTGTCCGCGAGGGGACCCGGAGGCTCGCGAGCTGCAGCCCGCCAAAGCCCGTCTCCGCGCCGCCGCGCCCGCCCGCTCCCCGCACCGAAGCAGCCTCGGAGCCTGGTGCCCTGAGGGGGGGCTGGAGAGCGCGCCCCCCCGGAGCGCGCCCCCGGCCCCCCCCGGAGCGCGCCCCCCCCGAGCGCGGCCCGGCCCCCCCCAGAGCGCGCGCCCCCGGCACAGGCTGAGCGGTTTGGAGGCCCCCCCCCCCGCCGCCCCCTCAGGCGGTATCCGGAGCCGCCGGAGCCGCCCGCCGGGGCCAGCGGGGCTGGGCATAGCGGGCGGGGGCGGGGGCGGGGCCGTGGTGCGGGCACCAGGGGTGCTGCCGCGCCCCGCCCCCCCCGGCGTGACGGGGTTTCCGCAGGGGCGGGGGATACTGAGCTCTGAGCCCCCCCCCCCGCCGGGCCCGGCCCGGCCCGGAGCATCGGGGGGCAGGTGGGACTGGGGGCTCCGCTCTGCCGGGGGGAGGGGGGGGGCCTGTGACCGTGCACGTGACTGGGGGGGTCACGTGCCAGGCGCCCTGTGGCCGGCGAGGCTAATGAGCAACGCAGGGACAGGCAGAGGGGGAGACAGCCCGCGTCACTGCCCCAGCCCCCCAACCGCCATTGGCTCCCCCATCGCCCCGCCCGAGGGGGGCAGACACCCACGGAGACTACAGCTCCCAGCATGCACCGGCCTAGAACGCCCTGCGCTACGGCACCTGACTTCCGCCGCCCGGCTGGGAACACGTGACCGGAAGGGCGTCGCCTCTGGGGAACGGTGACCGGGCTGAGGGCGGGGTGCGCGCGAGGCGTCCGACCCGGAACTGCCGCCGACCCCGGTCTCCGAGACGCGTCCTCTCGAGCGCGCCCGGCAGGAGGTGACGGTCGCGGGGGGCTGGCCCCGCCCTGCCGCTCGGCGCGCGGGGGGGCGGGTCGCTCCGGGCGGCGGCGGGAGGCCGCGGTCGGTGTGCGAGGCTCGGGGGCCCGCGGCCATGGGCAGCCGGGCTGCTCCCGGCCGCGCGGGGACCTGCCGGAGCCCGGCCGGCTTCGGGCGCGCCCGGGCTCGCCGCGGGAGGGGGACGGGGCTGCGCTCTCCCGGGCGAAGCGCGTTGGGCCCCGCGGGCTCTGGCCGCCAGGCCTCGGCGGGCCGCGGCTGAGACCGGCCTTGTGTTTTCCAGGGGACGAGCATGGCCTCCGCCAAGCAGCTCGCGGACTTTGGGTATAAGGCCTTCTCCGGCTCCATGATGCTTCTGACCGTCTACGGGGGCTATCTCTGCAGCGCCAGGGTTTACCGCTACTTCCAGCGCCAGAAAGCCCTGAAGCCGCCTGAACAGAACCAGCTACAGACAGGGGTCGTTGAGGACTGAGTCCTGCTCTCTGGCCGGCTGCATGGCCAGAGGCTAGGTTGAGATTACGCCTGCTGCAGTAATCAGGTAGCACGTGCAACCCTTCCCGATCACAAATGAGGGCTAGCTTAGATCACTTGGGGTTTTCCTCAGGCACACGACCGTGTCTTGAGTTTTTCTGCACTCGTGAGACGTTACAAAGTAACTCTGTGTAAGCATCGGTTTTGATCACGTGATTAAATATTTTACTTATTTCTTCTCTTGTCAGTATGTGACTAGAACCACCTGAGTGGAGGAGTAAGTCAGTTAAATCAACATCAATACACAATTTTACTCAAAACCCCTCACGGGGGTGGGGGGGGGGCGTCTGCCTTGATGCCGTTCTTCTAAAATTCTCCACTTCCAGGCCAGCAAACTGAATAGCCGCAGGTTGAGGGAGACTGAGGGCTTGTCTACACTTAAAAACACTTTAGAGACTAACCAATTTATTTGAGCATGAGCTTTCGTGAGCTACAGCTCACTTCATCAGATGTATACCGTGGAAACTGAAGCAGATTTTATATACACACAGAGATCATGAAACAATACCTCCAGCAGGACAGTGGGGTGGGAGGAGGTATTGTTTCATGATCTCTGTGTGTATATAAAGTCTGCTGCAGTTTCCACGGTATACATCTGATGAAGTGAGCTCTCTGTAGCTCACGAAAGCTCATGCTCAAATAAATTGGTTAGTCTCTAAGGTGCCACAAGTACTCCTTTTCTTTTTGCGAATACAGACTAACACGGCTGTTACTCAAACTTAAAAACACTGTAGCTGTATCCCTATAATGCTTCAATGGAGACATTACCTACACTGATTGGAGGGGTTCTCCAGGCAGCATAGGTAATCTACCTGAGAGGCAGTAGCTAGGTTAATAGGACTATGTCTCAACGACTGCAATAAGTTGACCTATGCTACGCATGAATAATGTAGCTGGAGTCGACATAGACTCGTAGAACTGGAAGGGACCTCGAGAGGTCATCTAGTCCAGTCCCCTGCACTCAAGGCAGGACTAAGTATTATCTAGACCATCCCTGACAGGTGTTTGTCCAACCTGTTCTTAAAAATCCCCAATGATGGAGATTCCACAATCTCCCTAGGCAATTTATTCCAGTGCTTAACTACTCTGTCCGTTAGGAAGTTTTTCCTAATGTCCAACCTAAAGTGCCCTTGCTGTGATTTAAGCCCATTGCTTCTTGTTCTTAACCTCTGAGGATAGGACAATAATTTTTCTCCCTCCTTGCAACAACCTTTTATGTACTTGAAAACTGTTATCATGTCCCCTCTCAGTCTTCTCTTCTCCAGGCTAAACAAAACCAATTTTTCCCTCATAGGTTATGATTTCTAGACCTTTAATAATTTTTGTTGCTCTTCTCTGGACTTTCTCCAAATTGACCACATCTGAAATGTGGTGCCCAGAACTGAACACAATACTCCAGTTGAGGCCTAATTAGGGCGGAGTAGAGCAGAAGAATTACTTCTCGTGTCTTGCTTATAACACTCCTGCTAATACATCCCAGAATGATGTTTGCTTTTTCTGCAACAGCATTACACTGTTGCCTCATATTTAGCTTAGCAACTGCAACCCCCAGATCCCTTTCCACAGTACTTTTTCCTAGGCAGTCATTTTCCATTTTGTATGTGTGCAACTGATTGTTCCTTCCTAAGTGGAGTACTTTGCATTTGTCCTAATTACTTCAGACCATTTCTCCAGATCATTTTGAACGTTAATCTTAGCCTCTAAAGCACTTGCAACCCCTCCCAGCTTGGTATCGTCCTCAAACTTTGTAAGTGTACTCTCTATACCATTATCTAAATCATTGATGAAGATATTGAACAGAACCGATCCCTGCCGGACCCCACTCCTTAAGCTCTTCCAGCATGACTGTGAAGGACTCATGATTACTTTCTGGGAATGATTTTTCCAACCAGTTATGCACCCACCTTATAGTAGCTCCATCTAGGTTGTATTTCCCTAGTTTGTTTATGAGACGGTCATGCGAGACAGTATCAAAAGCCTTACTAAAGTCAAGATATACTACATCTACAGCTCCCCCCCCATCCATGAGGCTTGTTATCCTGTCAAAGAAAGCTATCAGGTTGGTTTGACATGATTTGTTCTTGACAAATCCATGCTATTACTTATCACCTTATTATCTCTTATGTGTTTTGCAAATTAATTGCTTAATGATTTGCTCCGTTATCTTTCTGGGTACAGAAGTTAAGCTGACTGGTCTGTAATTCGCTGGGTTGTCCTTATTTCCCTTTTTATAGATGGGCACTATATTTGCCCTTTTCCAGTCTTCTGGAATCTCTCCAGTCTTCCATGACTTTTCAAAAATAATTGCTAATGGCTCATATCTCCTCAAGTATTCTAGGATGCATTTCATCAGGCCCTGGTGATTTGAAGACATCTAACTTGTCTAAGTAATTTTTGACTTGTTCTTTCCCTATTTTAGACTCTAATCCTACCTCATTTTCACTGGCATTCACTATGCTAGATGTCCAATTGCCACCAACCTTCTTGGTGAAAAACAAAGAAGTTTTTAAGCAGCTCTGCCATTTCCACATTTTCCTTTGTCTTTCCCCCCTCATTGAGTAATGGGCCTACTCTGTCCTTGGTCTTCCTCTTGCTTCTAATGTCTTTGTAAAATGTTTTGTTTCCTTTTATGTCCCTAGCTAGTTTGATCTCATTTTATGCCTTGGCTTTTCTAATTTTGTCCCTACATACTTGTTTGTTTATAGACATCCTTTAAGAAAAGGAATACTTGTGGCACCTTAGAGGCTAACAAATTTATTTGAGCATAAGCTTTTGTGAGCTACAGCTCACTTCATCAGATGTATTCAGTAGAAACTCTGAAACCAGTCATCCTTTGTAATTTGACCAAGTTTCCACTTTTTGTAGGATTCTCTTTTGAGTTTTAGATCATTGAAGATCTCCTGGTTAAGCAGGGCGGTCTCTTGCCATACTTCCTATCTTTCCTACACAGTAAGGATAATTTCCTCTTGTGCCCTTAATAATGTCTCTTTGAAAAACTGCCAACTGTCGTTCAATTGTTTTTTCCCCTTAGACTTGCTTCCCATGGGATTTTACCTACCAACTCCCTGAGTTTGCTAAAGTCTGCCTTCTTGAAATCCATTGTCTTTATTGTACTGTTCTCCCTCCTACTATTCCTTAGAATCATGAACTCTACCATTTCATGATCACTTTCTTCCCGGTTGCCTTCCACTTTCAAATTCTCAACCAGTTCCTCCCTGTCTGTCAAAATCAAATCTAGAACGGCCTCCCCCCCGTAGCTTTCTCCACCTTCTGAAATAAATTATCCAATACATTCCAAGAACTTGCTAGATATGCTGTGTCCTGCTGTGTTGTTTTCCCCAACAGCTGTCTGGGTAGGTCAAGTTACTGCAGGGTCTGCACAGTGCAGAGGGCGAGGGGGAGAAATTCTCCCACCGACTTACCTTACTCTTCTCATCAGGCATACAGTACAGGCATCAACTTGAGAGCGAGCTGCTGTTGATTTGGTGGGTGTTCACTATACCCATTAAATCAATCTCAGAGAGTGGAGTCTGGCTGTACTGTAGATGTAGCCTAGGAGAATTCTCCCATTGACCTAGCATTGTCTACACCAGGAGTTAAGTCAGTTTAACTGCATTGCTTGGGGGGGGGGGGGGGGGGGGGTGGATTTTTCACACTGCTGAGTGAGTTATACTGACCTAATTTCTTAGTGTAGACTCAAACTGAGGAAGTGGAGAACAAATTTCCGGAACAGCTTTGGACTGAGTCCTGCTTCCAAGCATATTAGATTTTGTAAACAATAGTTTCACATCCACGGTAAAGTCTTCCAGTCACCAAACGATCCAGAAATGCATGAATTTAACAGTTGTGTGTCCTCCTCCCCATGGCCAGATGCTCACTTCCACAAGCTTAGAGTTTCATTTCAATGTTAGACAGTTCTGGGGACAGGCTTGAGATTAAAAGTAGAAAATAGACTAAGCAAATTCTTACAAGAACTTTCCTTTAGTTGGAAAAAAAATTATGGACAGTGGAGTTTGCTGTAGATTTTGGTCTCAACACCAAGCCTAACAGACAGAGGGCCTGGTGCAGTCTGAACTTTGCTTTGGACTGTTTTATCTCAATGCTACTAGAATAACAGTGCTATAAAACAGGTAAGCCACAGCTGCTAGTTCCTCTTATTAACTTTAGAGTTTCCTTAATAGTAATTGCAGGATGTGTAAGTATTTCTCTCAAGACAGTATGAAGTGGAAGTAGGTTTGGCAAAGGCTACTTGGAAAAGTATTTGGCCATACTAGACATAGGGTTCTTTTGCTACAGATGTATGTGAGTAGAACACATAGTGAAAGTTTAGCAAGGTACACTAACTCTGGGGCAATTTAGGGACATTGAATAGAAATTATTGGAGCTAGGAATAATGAAAATATTCATGGAGGTAATGTGTCCAGCTTCACGCACAGTGAATAATTTTACAAAATGTTTGTGAAGAGCCTGTCACTTGATTAAAGCTCGTTTGACCTATAGTCAGAGCACCATAGCTGGCACTTAAGTGAAGCACTGAATCTTAAACACTATTCTCTCTCATTTGAGACAGCAGTCCCTACTGGCACCATGCTGCCTAGAGTATTAGGGGGGTTCACTAGTTTAGGAGCAATTCAATAACTTTCTGCAGTGTATAGGATTTCTTACTTATATGCTAAACTTGCTCAATAGAATCATAGAATATCAGGGTTGGAAGGGACCCCTGAAGGTCATCTAGTCCAACCCCCTGCTCGAAGCAGGACCAATTCCCAGTTAAATCATCCCAGCCAGGGCTTTGTCAAGCCTGACCTTAAAAACCTCTAAGGAAGGAGATTCTACCACCTCCCTAGGTAACGCATTCCAGTGTTTCACCACCCTCTTAGTGAAAGAGTTTTTCCTAATATCCAATCTAAACCTCCCCCACTGCAACTTGAGACCATTACTCCTCGTTCTGTCATCTGCTACCACTGAGAACAGTCTAGAGCCATCCTCTTTGGAACCCCCTTTCAGGTAGTTGAAAGCAGCTATCAAATCCCCCCCTCATTCTTCTCTTCTGCAGGCTAAACAATCCCAGCTCCCTCAGCCTCTCCTCATAAGTCATGTGTTCTAGACCCCTAATCATTTTTGTTGCCCTTCGCTGGACTCTCTCCAATTTATCCACATCCTTCTTGTAGTGTGG